CTAACATGCAGTCCGGAAGGGCCAGACGACCTTACCTGACAGGTGGTCTGGCTCTGGCAACGGTCGATGCAGCGTTTGTGACACGTCATCAGGCAGGCCGAACACTGGAACGCGTCCTTGAGCCAGATCTGCAGCACAGGGCACATGGGCCAATGGTAACTGCTGAGATAGCAGCCGCGGGCTACGGCTGAATTCTACGCGTGCAAGCGACAACTTTGCATCTCTGAACGACGTGGCTCAGACGCAAAACATCAAGTTAACACCGTCATTTATGACAAGTGTACGCGCAAAACGCGTATTTCACCGGCTTCATATAATTCAGCTTTGATTCAAAAGTGAATTTCCAGTACATGCTGGCATTAGTTTAAGCGTGATCACGGAGCTCCCAGTTTCTCGCTCATCCGTCGGAAGCGCACCTTGCGGTGGCAGAAGTCGCACTCCGTCGATGCGGTAAACTTCATGCGGGCAAAGCGGTGGCCGACGCGGATCTCGAGCGGCGTCTCCTCCTCATCGGGCTCAGAGTCATCCACGTCCATGCGCTCAAGCAGGCGGGAGCCATCCTCGTCGGCCGCCGGCTCGGGCTCGCCGCCGTCCGGCGCGCCCGCCGTCAGCACGAACGACAGTAACACGTCCCCGAAGCAGTATGTCGGCTCGAACCCGTTGAACACGGACAGCTCGTGGTCCACACTGGCGGAGGAGCCCGGTCGTCAGACACTGGACGAGGAGCCCGGTCGTTAGACACTGGACGAGGAGCCCGGTCATCAGACACTGGCGTAGGAGCCCGGCCGTCACACACTGGAGGAGGACCCCGGTCATCAGACGCTGGCGGAGGAGTCCGGCCGTCAGATATTGGCCGAAGAGCCCGGCCGTCACACACTGGCGGAGGATCCCGGAGGTCAAACACTGGCCGAGGAGCTCGGCCTTCAGGTGGTTAGATGGATACGGGTTACGGGTCCGGCGTCCGTCACGACACTCACTCCTTGACGGCGGCGATCGTCGGCGGCAGGAAGCGGCACGTCTCCACGTGATGCCCCATGACCGTCAGCTGGCAGCGGGACACCAGCTGGGCCAGCGGCAGGCTCAGGCGGCCCAGCAGCACGTGCTGGCCCGGCTCGGCGGCCGGCTCGCCAGCGCCCGTCTCCGGCACGCCCATCACCGACACGTTCAGGTAGCGTTGCGGCGGCCCAACCGAGAACTGGAACGTCTCGTTCAGCACCGGGTCCTGCGGCCAGCGGCGCGGCGTCAGCCCCGCGTGGACTGAGGGACGTCGCGGCGTGAGGCTGCGGCCGGGACGAGAAACTAATAGGCGAACACACTGAGTCCCCGGACCAAAGCAGCACGAAAAGTCGACACGATAAAGACAGATGCCGTGGCGACAACGCCGATCATGACCCAACCACAATAAATCAGTTTGATCTGCTTAATCTTGAAGTTGAAGTGCCTTAGGGCACTCGATCTGCACGTTTACACGACGGTCGAGGTCAACTATCACAAGCACAAGGACAGACAGCGACGCCACGACGACGGGGTACGCCCAGTGGCACCGCACCAGGTACATCCACACTGACAGACAGACTGGACCGTCATGCTGGCAGCAGCTGGTGCCTCCGAGGGTCGGCTCATGTGGACTCTTATTCCTGATTCATCGCACCTGTGTTAGGTACATAAGAGCTCGCACCGCACACTGATTCAACGGGTGGGTAAATCATTTTAAAGTCGATACCTTTCATGAATTACAAAACCACCATGGTGTCACAGGTCGGCTTCTCGCCATTCATGGAGCGCGGAGACAGCCCCCGCTAAGAGAACTATGGCATCCCAAAGATGCAAGCCCCTGCAAGTCGCAGTCGTTCAGCACACACGAGCTGAAGGCACCGAACAAGTGCAACGGATTCCGCGAACTTCTCGGTACCTAATCACGCAACTTCAACACGGGCGCACAGCACCAAGTTCCCAGAAAAGCAGAAGCCGCTGCACGTGCTTGGGCTAAAATCCTAATTCGAGAACACGTTGGCTCGCTCAATACCCGCACTAACTCCCACGTAAACGCCTTACAAGGCCGGCGTTCATTACGGCGTTCATTAGAGACAAGGCTGCTGACCTCATTCCAGCGGGCCCACTTGGTGCTCTTCTCCTGGTCGAACAGGCAGCTGTGAAGGGCCGCTGGCAGGCTCACCGCGGAACTGTTGTCGTCCTTATCCGCCACTGAAAAGGAGCGGCGTCAGCAAAGTCCGCCCACGTGCCGGTCGCCAGCGCGTGGTGGTGAGGCCTGCCACATGGCGCGTGCCCATCAAACGATCACGCGATCGGGGAGACACACTGAATATACCGCGGACGCCTAAAACATCACGCAGTCCAGCTCGTGGTCACTTGAATGGCGTGTTACGCATGCGCAAACACGTCGCTGCGCCGCGCAGCGTACTACAAGAGGAGTCCCGGTTGTAAAGAAGGGAGGAAATACAGATGCGCGCCGCAGCAAGCGTGCGCCGCGGACATCTCCCGTCAGATGTGTTATTCCCATTTTGCACAGACTGCAAGACGAAGACTGGATGTCCTTTCCAGGAATACCGCGTTGCGCACTGCGTAATGCCCGCAAGTCCGCGATAAGGGAGGCACGGAAACATCGCCCCGTTCTGTCTTGTTAGCTGCGGGGCATCCACAGAACAGGCTACACCGGCTGGACCCGGGACTAATGGGACCATGCGCACTCCGTCGATACCGACTGCCTGGATAACGCAGCCGTGCCCTGGTAAGGTGGGCAAATATGCAGCCTTTTACTCTGGCGCGAACGTCGCATCCCGGCGAGGCGTGAGGATGAAGCCAGCTACCTGGCTTCGGAGCCCAGTCCGAATCTACGACCATGACAAAATCCAACTCGAACCTAAATCCCCTGGCTCCGAAGTTTGAAACTGCGGTGCTTAAGATCCTGTTAGCCCCGGCTTCGCTGTTGTTTTTTTTTTTTTACTGTGACGTCGAATACCACGTCAACGTCTTTGAACTTAAAAAAGCGAAAACAGCAAAAAGCTGGGCCTTCGAACTAAGAAGACACGAAACAAAAGCAGGAACCATCATTTAAAAATCACGAGACCGAAGCCGAACCTAGTGAGCAGCAGTGTTTAGCAAAACCGACCATTTTCGCGTCTACTTTAACTGTACGAGATCACATAAATCATTACAGTTATGCAGTACCACAAGGTATTAGCATCACGGATGAGCTATTCTTACTACCGGCCTCGTCTTGTGTGTTGGTACCAGCACAACGTTCCTGACAGTCAGCTAAGCGGCCGCTGTCAGGCTCCCGTGGATGTCCGGCTGTTTTTCAGCTTTGAGCCATGCAGGCGTCGCAATCTAACGGCGTATTGAGGCGGCAGAACGAAAGAGCAGGCCAGCTTCTGTGACTTGAACTCGCGATCGCAACTAAAAAGATCACTATGACAAAGTCGAAACCAGCAGATCAAGATCGCATGACATCGAAGCCCTAGCCACAAATCGCTTGTTTTTTGCGAAGCCAAAGCCAGCTCCTCAAAATCATATCAAGCGTAAGCCGAGGCAAACCACTTACAATGACATGGAGCCGAAGCCGAATCCAAACGAATTCTCAAAAAAGGTTAAAAGCCGAAGCCGCACCTGAGGCCAATAACCTCCAGATTTGGAGGCGGAAAACCGCAGCTTAGCGAAGCCGAAGCCAAAGTCGGTTTCATCCCCCTGCCTGGTCCCGGCAAGGTTAGTGATGCAGATTCGTTTCTGGACGCAGCCGCCGCGTCCTATTAGGGTTAGAGATGCATACATGGCCGCCGCGTCCCAGTAGGGTAGGTGATGCAGACTCGTGTCTGAGCGCTACCGCCGCGTCACGGCAAGGTTAGTGATGAAAACTCGTGTCTGGATGCAGCCACCGCGCGGGCTTGTGTCTGAAGGTGGCTGCTGCGCCCCAGGAAGGTTAAAGATGCATACCCGCGTCTGGACGCACCCACCGCGTCCCGGCAAGGTTAGTGACGCAGACTCGTGTCTGAACATGGTCGCCCCGTCCCAGAACAGTTAGTGATGCAGATTCGTGTCTGAACATGGTCGCCCCGTCCCAGAACAGTTAGTGATGCAGATTCGTGTCTGAACATGGCCACCGCATCCCAGTAATGTTAGAGATGCATACTCGTGTCTGAACATGGTCGCCGCGTCCCAGTAAGGTTACAGATGCATACTCGTGTCTGGACGCACCACCGCGTCCCGGCAAGGTTAGTGACGCAGACTCGTGTCTGAACATGGTCGCCCCGTCCCAGAACGGTTAGTGATGCAGACTCGTGTCTGGGCCACGTGCCGGTTAGCCGGCGGGCCCGGCGCCGTGCAGCCGCCGGCCACGCGGGGCGCACCTACCTGGCGCCGGCAGCGGCTGGGGCCGGCACAGCTGGGGTCGGCCGGAGCGGCCGGCGGCGCGCGCCGTCGGCCCCAGGCGCGCCCACTCGGCCCAGCCGCCCGCCGTACCTGAGGGCAGCCACGCTGACGCTCTTGGTGCCGCGGCGGCGCACCGGCGACTCGTCCAACAGCAGGCTCTCGCTGGCTGAGCTGTGCGGCGGCGCTCGGACGCCGGCGCCGGCGGCCGCGACCCGCCCACGGACGGCCGCTTCTGCTGCGGCAGACGCGCGCGCCAGACGGTCAGAGGTGGCGCACGGTCGCCGGACGACCGGCCGAGGCCGGGCCGGGACACGAGCGCGGCGGCTCACACACAGCTGCGGGCGTCCACTGTCCGGCTCCAGAGCGGACGCCCGACGCAACACTTCATAGCACCGTAAACTGCGCCAGGGATAACAGGCATAGAGCACTGAAAAGGGCAGCCAACAAAATCGCTCCGCGACCACGGCAGTCGAGTCAGGTGGTCCAGCTCTTGGTGTTTACTAAGCTGTATACTCTAACGGAGCGACCGGATGCGCCGAAACCTCCTCCACGGATCAGAATGTTACGAGAGGCTGTACCATACTATTGCTGCCCAGAACAGGTCTGACAGAGACAGACAGGTCTGACAGGCACCGTCACACCAGAAGGGCGGCACGTACGCTGCTGTGTTTGGCCTCCTTGTTCTCGGCCATGCGCAGCACGCGGACGCGGATGTCGCTGGCCGGCTGGCGCAGCAGGCGGTTGGCGGTGGGCAGGTCCCGCACCGGCTCGCCGTCCACAGAGTCCACTATGTCGCCCGCTGGAGGCCGGGCGCAGGGCAGCTCGCCGTCAGACGGCCACACGCCCGTCACCGAGACACACCAGAGCCCACCACACACACACGCGCACCGATCACCACCAAACACGGGCGCGCCGTCAGCAGCGCTGGACACGCGAACCGGCCGCCGCCGCGCCGCGCGAACTACCGGCGTGATGCAGTCAAACCGAGATAGAAAGCGGGCGTGAATGTAATCAACTACGAAACGAAGTAGGTCAGAATGCTCTCCAAACGAAAAACCAAGCACATCAGAAATTCCACCCTACAGCAGAGAGGATGACACCTCCCCAGAGAGGCTAACCCAGCTGCCACGTGCTATTCCTTCCCTGCAATGCAATCTGAGCGGCCTGGCCGACCAAACGCGGAATGCAATGACCGTCCCGAACCAATACACACAACTTAAAACAAAACCCATGCAGCAGCACAAAGTTCTGCAAGTTTCAAGACCACACAACAATGTGCGTTGTAAGGCGCAGTAACAGGCACTTCAATGGCAACCAAAGACGCGCAGCTCCAACGCGGCGAAGAAGCCAAGAGACCGCCCTCACCTTTGAGACCGGCCTTGTAGGCGGGAGCGTTGTGCACGACGATGAAGATGGTGATGCAGTTCCGCTGCTTCTCCATGACGAATGTGTCGCGCACCAGCAGACCGACAGCCTGGCCCGGGTGGGCCGGCACGTGCAGCTCCTCCTGGTGCCAGCTGATGTGGGACGTGTCCAGCAGGAGCGGGTCGGCACCTGGCGCACCGCGACCGGCCCGGTCACGCCACACCGTCCCCGGCAGGCCGCCCCCCAGCCCACCACACCTGGTGCCAGCTGACGTGGGCCGTGTCCAGCAGGAGCGGGTCGGCACCTGGCGCACCGCCGCCGGCCCGGGCACGCCACACCGTCCCCGGCAGGCCGGCTCACCCCCCCCCCCCCGCCCCCTCCACCCCCACCGCCTCCCCTCGAGCCGGCCACACCCACACAGCGTCGAGCTCAGTCCCGACAGCGTGACACGCGACATGGGGACAATACACGGGAGGGAACGTGGCGCCCGGCACGCCAGCACAGCGAAGGACGACGGGCGGGGGAGGGGGGGGGGGGGGGGGAGCGTCGAGCCGCTGGCAGCCGTACCGACGGCCAGCCGGCAGTAGACGTGCGTCAGCTGGCCGCTGGAGCGCAGCCGCGACAGTCGCTTCACGGTGACCTCCAGCTGGGCGGACGAGGTCAGCTCGGCCAGCGTCGCGTCCGGCACCAGCTGCTGCAGCCGCGACATGAAGAACGGCTTGTAGCGCAGCTTGTAGTTGGGCAGCGTGTGGCGCTTGCGCAGCGTGCGCTTAATCTGCGGCCAGAGCGACAGGGTGAGCCGGGTGGGCGGGAGCGGCCGCTCGGGGACGGCACACAGCGGGCGACAGGAGAAGGCCAGAGCGACAGGGTGAGCCAGGCGGGCAGCAGCCGCCATTCGGAGACGGCACACAGTGGGGACAGGAGACCCGAATCACGACAGCTGAGGCCCACCCGGCCTGCAGGCACCACAGCTGCCGCCTGCTTGAGCGGCCAGGTCATAGTGCAGCACCGACCGGCGGGCTCTGGCGCAACAGGTGGCTGCTTTCGGTTGGGCGCGTGTATCGAACACAAGTAACAAAGACGGCGGGGATGGTTCTGAAGACGGAGTTACAGAGCACTGGCAGCGGAGAGACAACTGGACATTAGCCGGAAACTAATGGGGAGTGGTGATGGCAACAAAGAAAGAAATGTGGTTGCGACGTGCATAGAAAATACGCACCGCCTTGGGACTGAAACACGGGGGAGAACGACAAAAAATCCCTCCCCTTTGTTTCCAGCCTCGTGCCCCGTGTCCTGAAGACCGAGCCCCGTGTCCTGAACTGAGCCCGCGACTGCCTGACTTACGGACTGACCTGACACTAGGTAACGAACTGTCTCAACCTGACCACTGCTCAGCTGGGGCAAGGGACCTCATCAGGCTCCACGACTGACCCGGCTTGGCCTAAGCCGACCTAGCCTAGCCCGGGCCACTGACCTGGCGCACGATGACGGCAGTGATGCGCGGCTGCGGCCGGCCCTGGAACTGCGACTCTGCCTCCACCTCGATGGTGGGGTCACCGATGAAGCTGTACGCCCAGTGCGAGAACGGCCGCCGGGTGAAGCGCAGCAGCACCTGGCCCGACAGCCGCTCGACTGCCGGCGGAGGCGGCGTCAGCCACGGGACGGCACGGCTCAGGCACGCCATCCGAACCACACGGCAAATGCCGAGAAGCCAGAAGACAAAACGGCAAGTGGAGAAAGCTCAACTGGATAAGGCCCAAACAACAGTAGGCCAAAGAACCACGTCAAGTGGCAAAAGAACACAAAAAAACAGTTCAATGCAAAACGCCAAAGACATCAAAACTAAAAAGGCATAAAATTCAAATAGGCAAAAAGGAAAAAGGGATGAGAGTTAAATGGGCAAAACTAAACGAGAATAACGTCAAATGCACGGAAGTAAGAACACCTTAGGCTGAAGAGAACAAAATTCAAAGTGACTAAAATCAAAACGATGGAGCTTAAAGGTCAAAAATCAAATATCACGTAGTCAAAAGGGATAGAATTCAAACGAATAAAGAAGAAAAGGTTGATGTTCAAGGAAAAGAAGCAGCAAAAGGAAGCCAAGTCCTCAGGATTGAAGAGAATGGAGCGAGCTGAGCAAGTTGCCAAGATACGTCAAAGTGAAGCAGGCCCAGGGACGCTGAAGCGGTCGACCACGAGCGGGCGCTTCTGAACCAAATCCAGGCCCTCTGCGCCCTCTGAAGGACCATGAGGCCTGTTTGTCCCATTTGCTTGCAGGCTCAGACTTCTTACATATATACATTAGATGGCCGTTGCAGAACATGTTTTTCTTAAGGCGTGTTTCACTGAAAACGCGCCACATCTGATATTGATTTGCTTCAAAGGGAATGATTTCTTCTCCGAATCAATGGCTTCCCATCATCGGAAAAACTGTTAAGAACGCTACTTTATGACCAAGTAACATTTCATTGGTCTTAGTAACATCATCACACAACATATGTAAAATTATACACAGTAATACGCAACGCATTAGTGGTCGCGTCTGCTGAAACCATATTTTTGCATTCCTCCGCGGTTTCTAAAAATGTGGCTGCGCCATCAGCGTCAGCTGCTGGACCACAAGGTAATAGAAACACTAGGTAAAGCCGAGCCGAGACTGCGTGCATCAAAATGACGAATCATCTCGGCATAACGGCTGGAAAATACTCCACGAGCGTGGTGCAAACGCCCTACAAGAACTATGCCTGCTCCCCACTGTCGTGATGCGCTTAACACTTCACCATCTCAGACCTGGTCTTTGACAGTGCGTTTGCGCACATGTTGATGTCATGGCTATTGACGAGTGCGTAAAGATCTTGCAGCAGCGCAGGATGCTTTCGACGGTACAGGAGCAACGGAAGCCTCACCAAGCTGGAGTGGGATGGAGGGGGGGGGGGGGCGACAGACATGTTTGGCCTCAGGCACGAGACGGCCTCCTCAGGTCAGGGACGGCCTCCCACGCACGGGACGGCCTCCTCAGGCACGGGACGGCCTCCTCAGGCACGGGACGGCCTCCTCAGGTCCGGGACGGCCTCCTCAGGTCCGGGACGGCCTCCCACGCACGGGACGGCCTCCTCAGGCACGGGACGGCCTCCTCAGGCACGGGACGGCCTCTCCACGCACGGGACGGCCTCCTCAGCACGGGACGGCCTCCTCAGGTCCGGGACGGCCTCCCCACGCACGGGACGGCCTCCTCAGGCGCGGGACGGCCTCCTCAGGCACGGGACGGCCTCCTCAGGTCCGGGACGGCCTCCTCAGGCACGGGACAGCCTCCCACGCCGGGACGGCCTCCCCACGCACGGGACGGCCTCCTCAGGCGCGGGACGGCCTCTCAGGTCCGGGACGGCCTCCTCAGGTCCGGGACGGCCTCCCCACGCACGGGACGGCCTCCTCAGGTCCAGGACGGCATCCCCACACGGGACGGCCTCCTCAGGCACGGGACGGCCTCCTCAGGTCCGAGACGGCCTCCTCAGGCACGGGACGGCC